TTTTGCTCTCCATAGCTTTCTGTTTTTCTTGTTCAGCTAGGAATTTCTTAAGCCGTGATCCAGTGTACAAAGCATCTTCCGCAGTTTCGTACCTCTCGTGCGGTTGAACACGATCTCTGAATATTGGCGACGTTCGCGGTGCAATGATCTGCAAATATTATTAATCAATCTTTTAGTATCGGAACCCCAGATCTCTTAACTACAGCGAGTTCGGAACAAGAATAGCTACTTTGAGAACCAGCGATTACTTTGAGTAATGTGAATGGGGAAATCATCGAGAGAGTAGCGATAATAAATGTAACATTGCCAACGGAGATAATCAAAAAGTGAGAACACTCAGTTTTTAACCTTGGAGCGGGGATAACCATGTGAATAACTTGCCCTGGATCTATTTGCACGTTCACCTGCTACTAGATTAAAAAGTTTCCATAAAATGATTTAGAGTGTCAGCTTTTATTTAGCATTATACCGTGATTTAACCAGATTTTACTGCTCATAGTCAGCAACCAAGGGGCGTGACTTCCAGGAAGGGCGGAGCTCGCGAGTGAGGATGCTACAAAGGCTTCTACATCTCTTTTTTTAGAGAAGTTTCGCCTATTCTCATAAGGATAGAGCAGTTTTCATATACAAATGAATTTTCTATCACTACAAAAGCAGCAATTTTCTCGGTACATATCCGTACCTTTGCGTTGATAAGGGAATAAATAATGGCTATATTGATGCCATCAACTGCGCCTTGGAACCTTTTCCAATACCAGCCGATAAATCCAAACGCTGCAACGAATCGGTCCTAGAAAATAGTATTCGGTCGGGTGCAAAATACTATCACCGAAGTATTAGACTACAATTAAACCTACCATTGAAAGGGGCTCGGTATCACAGCGAATTTGATAGCACTTTTCTCGCACGACAGCTTCATTACCTGTGATAGTGAGGCTCTTCAAAAAAACTTTGCAATTTTGAAAGAAAAGCTGCTAAGCTGGCGAGAGTTGTTTTGAGAACCCCAAAACCTTAATCTTAGCAAGCAGAGCGGAACATTTACTGTCCGGCCGCAATTTCCAAACAAGTTTTTGCCACCCTGACTGATTTCTAACAAAGTTTCGTCTCGGCACTGTTCTCTAATGACGACATGATAGTCACCCAGTTCATCCACTCTGCCACTACCATCTGTCCTGCTATGATTGTTACTCTAACACAAAGAATGATTGATGTATAGCTCGAAGTTTGTATCCGAAGAACCGAAATCTTTCTCTACTTCTTC